AATTCTCTTCTCGTCTGGTAATTAACGCTCTGCCCTTTCTTTAAGATCCCGATCTAAAGCCGTCTTCCCCTTCAAGCACCCGTCCTGCTTAACCCACGTCCCAGATGCCGCTGCATGGTGTTCCAAGCACACTGAGGCCTGGGGTGTCCTGGGAATTTTCTAGCAAGTGTTTCATCCCGGGGGGACCTGGGGAGGCTCACTGAAAGTGAAGACTTTGCCTCGCTGAAGAACTAAGTTTCCATCTCTCGGGTTAGGTCTCCCTCAAGCCTACCTCCCCGATGAAATCTGGGGGCTCATGTCCCCGAGATTGCAGGGATCTTCAAGTCTGAGTACACCATTTCTAAAGGACAGTAGGACTCCAGGACGCAGCAAGGTCCCAGACAGCCATTCTCTACAGCCACTGAATCATCCAAAGTCCCAGGATACACACAGGCCTTCATACCTCCTCCCATAGCTAATCTTCTCCTTCATTTAAAGACTGGTACCACAAAATTTAACCAAACCCTACATCTTAAAAAAACAAACAAACAAACAAACAAAAACCAAAACCAAACAAACAAAAAACCCCATAAGAACAGGGACACAGAGGTTTGGGAATTCTGATGTTCTTTTCTGGTTTGGGTAGTGAATGGATGACCTGTCTATTTTTGTTGTTATTAAACTTTATGCATGTTTCTCTGTGTATACTTTTATATGCATGTCCCATTTCACTGTTTACAATAACATCTTTCCCTCTGAAAGCGTCCTGTATTTTGACTGCCCAAACATACCTCTTGTCAAGGGACTGATGACCAAGAAAGGCTCCTGAGCTATTCACAGGGCACTGAAGCCCCTTTGAGCACCCGTACAGGTGAACCACCCAGGACTTGGCTGTGAATTTCCCTTGGTGGTCTGTTGTCTTCTCTGCTCCTCACTCAGAGTGTGGTATGAACAGAAGAACAGGATCTGAACCATCCCAAAGGAGTCTTGAGTCAAAAGAGTACTTACAACCAGATGGACACAGTGGATGGTGGAACACTCTCCCCTTTCTTCAGGGAACAACCATGATACCGCTCAGAAATCCCAGGGGGAAATCCGGCTCTTATAAGGAGACAGAGCACCTCTGGGAACTTTCGCTGGCCAGCGTCCCCAGGCTTTTCCTCTCGGGAAAGGCCCTGTTCCTCAACTGAACAGTTTGGTGGGAACGGCGGGAGGTGGGCAATGCCTTCCCCCAACCTCAGGCTTCTCCAGTGTGCAGGACAGAACCACACACTCAGCTCAGCGGCTCCCCCAGGCCCCAACTGGACGGGATCTCCGTCTGCAGAGTTCTCCTGAGCTCCTCCCCACGCCCCTTCTCACTGCAGCCAGTCTCCTCGCCGGAGACTTTGGTTACACTTTCGGTCAGACAGCTCACTCTGTGTCAAGCCACCCCGGCATCTCTCCGCAACGGGCAGGGACTCGGATAGCAGCAAAGGATGGGATCGAGAGAACAAATGAACGGAGACATAAGCTTGGGTGGTTAGACAGGAATCCACGCTAGACTGTCACGCTCCCCTTGCATACTGTCTGCTGAGATCGTCCCTGGAGGATACATGCTTCTGTGAAGTTGTGGCAAGCCTCAGAAGTGTTTACACAAGCCTCCTGTGGGGCCAGGCCCATTTGCAGGTTGCTTTTCTGTTATAGTTACCGGTTAAAAATTCCTACTACGTAGATATTTCCCCCACCCCACCCCCCCACCCTCGCCCTCAGCCTTACCCACTCTATAATCACAGATCCCAGGCTAGCATGCTCAAGACTCTAGTCATGATCTCAGGACATCCACCTCTCCCACACACAAAATAAACTAAGAAATGTACAACACACAATACGATGCTTCTTAAAGGACCAGAGACAACTGAGCCCCTGACATTGCTGCCCATCACCAGTGAAGCATTATTCAGATGCTTCTAGCAACGACGTATTTTCCACTTCCTCTCCTACCGTGGAGGTGCTTTAGACAGCGCCTTACATGCTCCTTGCTCAAGATGATTCCCCCCATGGCACACTATCGGTCACAATGCCTGGAGCTGTCACAAGAAAATAGAAGTGGGACTAAGGGACAGAGAGCTCCTATCTCCAAGTCCAAAATGAAAAGCAAAGGCAAGCCAGGACTGCTGAACAGCATCCACTAACCACAGGTGCGGGACAAACAGTATCGTGAATTAAAAAGAAAACACGTCCCTTTTGGCACCGCCGTCAAATTGAGAACAAGTCAACTTCTACCCACTTCTAGAGACAATGAGGGAATTTTTCCATTAAGCCATCAGCCATGGAAAACTCGTCCAGTCCTGGAAAACAAGTTTGGCCACGGGCCAAGATCCCTTGTCCCTTTCCTCAGAAAAGTTAAGTGACATGCCAGACTGTGGTTGGCCCCTAAGTCACATCTGGCAGAGAGGGCTCTGTTGCGGTAAACATGTTGTGATGAAGCAGGCCGAGATAAGCAGGCAGACGCTCTGTGTGCCTCCCTGTGCTTCCATGAGCTGCAGGGGCTGCATTCTCCTTGTTTGGGTCCACACTGCCGGGCTGTGTGGAGGTGGGGGGGGTGTGTGGAGGTGGGGTGTGTGTCTCGGAGGTGGGGTCCTCAATCCACAATCCTCCTTCGGGACAGTTTAGCAGTTACTATGTTTCGGTCAAGGGCAGAGCTTGCTGCTCTAGCTCTAATTGACTCCAACCCAAATGAGTGTCATCAAAAGAGAAGAAACAGGAGGGGACAGACAACCACCTCGGGGCAGCTTTAGAGATACAGAGACACTGCAGCGCCCCCCAACCCCCATACCACAGCCAGCGGAGCAAGGCCAAAGGATCCTCTCCCCGTTCCACGCGGCTGCACATCTCACTTAGCACAGAAAACATGTCGCTTGGGGGAGGGACTTCTTGGGGTCTGATGAAATTACAAGCTTTGTGAAGAGAGCCTAGGTGGCCAACAGAGCCCATCGTTAGGCGTAAGGTCGGTGAACAAGAGGTCAGATTTGCAAAACTTCTACAAAATTGTAAAAGTACACACAAGTAGTGAGGGAGCTCCCTTCCCCCAAGGGACACACACACACACACACACACACACACACACACACACACACGAATGCACCACACAAAAGAGCACATGCACTCACCTGGCTTCCTGACTCTGAGCTGTTCAGACCAAAGAAGGAATGTCATTGGCTTACTCTGGTGAGCTCCTCAGTGCCCACGGCCAGAGGGACACAGGCTTTAACCTAACGGGAGTCCTTTCTGCTCCGCTATCCCAGACCCTGCACCCTCTCCGGAGAAAATTCCCAAGGCATTAATCCCGGAGGCATCTAAGTTCCTTCCTGGGGCTGACATCTCTCTCAGCCCAGTTGTGAACCGGCCTGAGGAGCCTGAGCTGGCAGTCTTGGTGGTAACTCCAGCAGAGGCGCATTATTTATCCCGGCTGCTGCCGTAATCGACACAAGAGATATATTCTATCCAGCTCGCCAATTGTCTAGAGGACCTCGGGCTGGAAAATAAACAGCTCCATGCGAACGGCCCTTTCCAATTCTGGTTCTAGCTGCCGGCTCAGCATGTGTGCAACTTGAACCGAGGCCCCAACCAGCCCAAGCTCTGCCCTGCCACCTGTCAGTTCTCCACCCTGGGGGTTGGTTTAGCAGGCAGACAGGGATCTCCAAGCACTAGCTTAACCTCTGGCTCCACCTAACGGCAAGACATCTACACCCCCCTTTCATAGATGGACAAACTGAGCTTCGCTCAGGAAGGTGCTCAAAAATCCCACCCGCAGGAGGCTAATTGGCATAGGAAGGTAACGGTAACCTATTTAGCATCCCATGCTGCAGTCTTCTTTCCCAGCCTTCCCACAGAAGGAAGAGTACTGTGAACTTTTTAAGTTAGCATCTTAGATCTCTCCAGCCCTTTGTCTGCAAATAGCATTTCACACACGTTCTTCAAACAATCTCGGTTGGGTGAGTCATTAGACCGTTCGCTGAATAATGAAGAACACGGAGGCCTGAAATGGAACTGACAGACAGGCACAAATGGTACCTAACTTCCCCCTGGGGTCCAAGCGGGACATCGTTCATCCTCTCTGACCTCTGCAAGCTTCCCCATCACTTTTATTAAAGACACTTCTGCGTAGGGTGGGGAAAGCTATACGTGGCGGGCTGGGCTTGCCTGGGGACGGTCTGCGCTCACCTTTAAATCAGGAGGCTTGCTTCGGGGACCCGGGTTGGGTGCCACCGCAGCGCCAGCATCTGAAGTTGGCCCGCCAGCAGAGTTAGCACCCGAGGCCTCCCCAGGCCGGAGGTCCGCGCCCGGCAGGAGGCAAGCCGCATCTTCCATCCCAGCCCCATCCTCCTCGCCCTGCTGTTGCTGCAGCTCGTCCGATTTGCACCTCTTCATGGTGTAAGTGGGTCGGCAAGGGGAATCTGTCCTTCTAGCGTGCTGTCTTGGAGGAGACCGCACCCCCTCTTGCACTCAAAGGACCTGGGGTTTAAATTATGGACGAGGGGAGTAGGCAGATCACGAGTTCTTGAATTTAAGAAAATATCTTTTTTAAAGGAGGACGAGGGAGGGGCGAAGAGAGGGAGCCGCGGGATAGTTCATTCCGACCTGGGGAGCGGAGGCAGGTGGCGGGCGAAGCCGGGCTGCAGGAGTCCTTGGGCAGTCACTGGCCGGGGAGGAGGGCCGCTCCCGACCCCCAAACTTTCTGCCTCAGGGCCCCGCAGGGCGGGGGGAAGCTGGACCACACGGCGCATCCCTGCCCGCAGGCCGGGCTGCTGGGCCAGGCAGGGCGCGCGGG